TACTTAATCAAGCATAAGTCAGAAACCTTTGAGGGTGGAGAGTATCTTAGTATTGAGTTCCTTGAATATCTTAAGGAATGTGGAATTGTTTCACAATTGGCACCTCCTAGGACACCACAGCTTAATGGTGTGGCTGAGAGGTGCAATCATACCTTGTTGGACATGGTTCGTTCCATGATGAGTCGAGCTTCGTTACCGATCTCATTTTGTGGGTATGCCTTAGAGACTTCCGCCCATATCCTTAATCTAGTCCCAACTAAGAAGGTTTCCAAAACACCTCACGAGATGTGGACATGGAAGGTTCCCTTGTTAGCACACATCAAGGTTTGGTTTGCGAGGCTTTCGTGAGACGTGAGACTCATCTCAACCTCAAACCTCGTAGTGATCGGTGTATTTTTGTGGGCTACCCATAGGAATCCTTTGGATATCTCTTCTACAGACTGAGTGAAAATGTTTTCTTTGTTGCGAGGAGAGGAGTCTTTCATAAGAGAGAATTCATAGGCCAAGGAAACAGTGGGAGACAAATTGACCTTGAAGAACTTCAAGAGTCAAGCGGTGAAGGAACCTCAAACACTAGCGATCAACCTGAGGAGGAAACTTCTATTAAACTAATTGAAGAATTTGTACCTCTGAGGGGTTCCAATAGAGTTAGAAATACAACTAGGTTTTATGGTCTCCATATTACTACAAAAGGTGATACATTTATCAGTGATATCATACTATAAAATTTGGATGAAAGTAACAACTACAAGGAAGCCATGGAAGGCCACGAGTCTGCAAAGTGGAAATAGGTTATGGACAGTGAGACTCAGTACATGTATGACAATCATGTTTGGAACATGGTTGACAATGTACCGGGTCGTAAGACAGTCAAGTGCAAATGGATCTTCAAGAAGAAGACCGACATGGATGGGAAAGTACACACTTATAAGGTGCGACTGGTTGCGAAGCGCTTTACTCAAACTACCAGAGTTGACTATGATGAGACCTTCTCACCAGTAGCAAATATTAAATTTATTAGGGTTATGCTAGCCATAGATGCATTTCATGACTATGAAATATGGAAAATGGATGTTAAAACCGCTTTCTTAATGGAAAGTTGGCTGAGGATGTCTACATGAGTCAGCCAGAGGTTTTGTCAATGCAAAGTACCCTAATAGAGTGTGTAAGCTTGAGAAATCCATATATGGATTGAAACAAGCGAGAAATGGAATCTTTGTTTCGATGAGAAAGTCAAAGAGTTTGGCTTTTCTAGAAGAGGGGATGAGTCCCGTGTATATGTCAGAGCTAGTGGGAGTATAGTGAGCTTTTTGGTACTATATGTGGATGCCATACTGCTCATAGGAAATGACATCCCAACCTTATTGGAGGTAAAATCCTGACTTGGGAAGTGTTTTGCTATAAACACTACTAGAAAAACAGCCTTTTACGACGCTCATTGCGCATCGTAAAAGGCTCAAACGACGCGCAAGTGCGCGTCAAGGAAGGCCCTGTCATAAAGAGAGACAACGCGCTTTTGCGCGTCGTCTATAGACGACACACATTTACGACGCTCATTTACGACGCGCGTTTATGACACGCAATGCGTATCAAGAAAACCCTTGTCAAGAAAGGCCATGTCAAAAATGAAGATGACACACACTTTTGCGTATTATAATTTTAAATGTTTAAAAAAATATTATTTATAGATTTACTAATTTTCAAATTAAATTTGTATTTAATGTCTCATAATAGAAAATAAAATATCATATACAAAAAATACAATCCATTGCATAAAATTTAATGTCATACAAATAATCGTTCCATGGAAAGATAAAACAAATCAACAGTTGTAACAAAAATTTACAAACTAATTAGATACAAGAAATATAAAAAAAAAAATATATACCCTTAAATGCTTTTCAAAGTATAATCTCCATGTCAGCTCTTCAACTCACTTCTCCAGTTTGTCCTTAGGCTCTCTAAGTCCATGTTAGTCTCCATCACCAAATTTAGCTTGCTTTTCACTAACATCAACCTAAAAAACAATAAAAATTACACTTTGTAACTTTGATACAAAAAATAAAGTTAAAGTTGCAATAATGAACTTTCTATTTGCTTGACTACTTTTTTAATTTTGATTATTTATTTGTTTTGGAAAGTTTCTATATGATAGCGAAAAGATATACCCCTATACACACACACACAAAATCTAGTTTTAATTTTGATTATTTATCTTTGTTTACATCTTTTTTAATGCATCTTTACAGTTTGTTTGTGTCCTATGTTCGGGAATTTACCTACAGTTGCAATATTCTTTGCCACTTTGGAAGTGTTTTGTCACTTCGTCTCTACAGAATGTTAAATACTGACCTCAAAAGGTAATTTGCAGTCCAAGTACTCTTTCTCAAAAGGTAATTTGTTATCATCCTTTGCTGCTTTCTATTTTTGCACTGAATGAACACGCTGAGGATGAAAAAGAAAATGACCATTTTACCCTTTTATAGGAAGTGATACTGAATATATATATATATATATATATATAATATATATATATATATATATATATGTATATATATAACTGACTGTTCATTTACAAACAGTTATAAATTGAAATCTTAACATTGTACTTTTACATTAATAATTTTCAATATATGATAATAACCAAAATCACCCACAATGTAATACTCCACGTGTACAAACTCGGAGATTTAGTTTCTTAATATTTGGATTTAATGAGCTTCCTACCACATATAAATAACTATTTTTTGTTTACATGTTTCATCTTTATTTCATACTACATAAATGTTGTCAATAATATATTTAAATCTTTAAGTCCATCAATTGATCAAAAAGAAACTACACCATCATTTTCTTTTTAATGCAAAAAGAATGAGTCAATGGAGAGGAAAAAGGATTTTCCCCTGACTTTTTTGTTTCCAATCCATCATTTTCTTAAATATTTTTTAAACATCATTAATATAAAAAAAAATGTTGTTAGTTGTTACTGACCAAGATGAAGATGATGGTATGTATATGATGAAGGCAACGGGTTTGATAATGATGGGTCAACAACAATAAACAACTTGATCAATTAGTGGAGGAATTTGTTTAATTTCGATTCCAAGCTCATGCTCAATCCGATACTTATAGCATTAATAAATAGCCATGAAACCAAAAAGTTAGAAAGATAAGGGTAAATCTGGTAATGCTAATTAATATTATCAGGAGGAAGACTTACAAGTTAAATCTGTATTCAAAGGTTATCAAATTCACAGCCAACCCAAGATGCCCAAACCTTCTGGAATGACCCACCTATAATTTAATTATAATCAATCAATCACAAGGTAACACACTTGATACTTCACTCTCTATCAACATTCAAAAAAAGAATAAACAAGGCTGATAGCAGATAAATGCTAGTATAATCTGAACCTTTAAACCATCAAGACCATTTGCATATGCATGTCTACAGCCTGTTCAATATGAATGCAAACAAGAATCACTGATTATTCATTTGATTTTAGCATTCATATATGTGAACAGGAAATATATGTGACTTCGTTGTGTCTAAAACAGTCCCCTGTAATACACAAAATTTAATTTGGAAAAACTAAGATGTCAGTCCCTTCTATGTAAGCTAGAAACATTGGATTCAGGTAAGTTACCAAATCTTCAACTGAAGTGTTAAGGAAATCATCCTTGATTTTATTCCCCTATAATAGATAGGGGATGTAATTCTTGAAAATCATGCATATTGGAAAGGAAGAAAGTTACCTGATGTATAATAAAAGATCAAAGTTTATATAAGGAATGAAATTCTTTAACTTCAACTATGAAACTACTTAAAAACAATAATGAGTTCGGATGATAACAGTTATTGAATCTACTATGAGTTTCCTGCAGCAGTAGATTGTGAGGTTAAAAGCAGAGCTTGTACAAGTATAGTGTCTAATATTGATGCCATCTCTCTAGCACGTGAGTCAAGAGGCATGTTGACTCTCCCCTGAAAATTTTTAAAAAAAAGTTCAATGACTATGACAAGAATAACCCCGATACAAAAAATGTCATAAATTAATCTCTAAGCATTCAGATATGCTATTTCCTATAAAAAAAATATCCGAACTAGTCGTATCAATTCTAAACTTTAAACAAAACCCAAATCAAATTCCCCTTGGAATTCTACTTGTACCTTCAAAATTCAACTAAAATGTGAAAAAGGCTAGTTATTTAGAATCAAATTGTAAAGTTTACCAAAGTTTTGAAAAACATTCTTGATGCCTCCTTGCAAGTTTTCTCATTTAAAAGGTTGTTCATACGAAGAGCCTTTCTTCTATTCTCTTCTTCCTTATTAAATATATTTTGGAGATATTTTCCAATAGCCCTACAAAAAAAAGGTTTTATTTATTTTCTTTTTCAATTAATGTAAAAAATAACTAAATATGATTACTTGGTACGTGAAGACCATCCACTGTCATCAACTAAACGTTTTTCTTCAGTGTCACTCAAATCTTCATCAGGTTCTTCAGCATCATTGTCAACTTCATTATCAAAATTCATAAAATCTGAGATAAAAGAAAATAATTAAATAATATAATTCTTGACTTTGTATAACCACAAAGCAACCAGGTCAAGAGATTGTAAAATAAAATAGAAAATCATCTCAAATCACTAAAATACGTTTTCCCAAATTGTGTATGAATCATTCATTTGGCAGTGATCAACAACATTAGAAGCAGCAAACAACTTGTTATCAGAAGTCTTAGTTGACCTAAAAGTTAAAAACCAAAACAAAAAATTAATCTCAACTGTGTGCAATCGGATTCACGAAAAAAGTTATAAATAAAGATGTCAATAGAGAAAAAAAAAACAAACCAATCTCAAGCATTTCTTTGGAAGGTATATCCAAGTAATTAGTTGGCTCATCTAGGACAAGTAGTATGGAAGGCTTGACCATGAACTTACAAAATGCAAGTTGTGCCTGAACCATGTTTATGAAATTACTTAGTTGCCCATCATCATTGAAAGGGTATTTTAGACATTTAAAAACTAGTAAAACTTTGACCACCACCACTTACTTCACGAATGCAAATTTTCATTTTTGTTTTAGAAATGAAAGCAGACAACATATTGGAAAAGAAAGGGAGTAAAACTAATATTATATCAATCAATAAGGAAAAAGACCAAATTGCCCTTTTGTTTTGGAACAACAAACTCTGATGTGCACTAATCATCAACACAGATTCATATTCATGATACTAACACAAAGTACAATTTCAAAAAGAATATATGAATAATGTAGATCCATCAGTCCTATTTACAGATACACAGCCATACAAACTCTGATGTGCACTAATCATCTTGGTTGCAGACAACTGGCATTTAGAACAACCAAACGGATGCAACTACACTACAAACGGAAAACACACTTTGGTCTTCTTAATGCCTGGAATCAAGAAATTCTCAAGAAGATTAATCAAAGGTGAAACATACATGGATTCGGTTATAGATGTTTTAAACAGATTCGCTTCATACCCACATATTCTCGAAATTGATGATGAAAATGGAGAAATTGAAATGAAATTAGAAGAAGAAGAAGAGGATTTGTTACCTTCAACCTCGTGCCCCGAGTCTCGGAAAGCTTTTATTCAACTTTACAGTCGTTGATACAAGTCTAACTAGAAAGATTGTGAATGTGAGAGAAATAGAACCCCAAGGTTTGGATTTGGTTACAGATGTTTTAAACAGAGGCGCTTCACACCCACATTCAAGATTCATGAAATTCTAGGGCACACGAGGCTACATGTCGCCTGAATTTCAGTCTACCGGAGTTCCGACACATAAGTCCGACTTGTACGCTTTCGGATTTGTACATCTTAAGATATTGTCAGGCGAAGAAGGGAAGTGCGGAACGAAGGAAGGAGTGTCGATAACTAGGCAAGGCGGTAGTCGAATGTATGGAGGGGGAAGAAAGGATTGTAATTAGGGAAAGAAGGAAAGTGGAGGACAAAAAAGAAAACGGGTGTTCAAAATTTTAGGGATTTCATTTTCCCCCTGTCTATTAAACGCGCTTTTCATTAAAATTATAAAGCGGCACACATAGAGGACACCCATTTAAGATACAGCGCCCTCCATGTTTTTAATTTTTTCTCGTATGACGCTAATTTAAGGGCACGCAATAACGCGTGACCTAAATCCTTAAATTTTTTGAAGAGATGACACTTTTTTAACGTTACTCTCTTTTGCGTAACATAAATCAATGAGTGTCGTGGTTTGCGCATCGTAAAAGGCTATTTTTCTTGTAGTGAAAGGACCCTGGAGAAGTTGCTATATCCTAGGGATAAGGATACTGAGAGACAGGAGTAAGAGACTAATTAGACTTAGTCAAAGTACCTACTTGGACAAGGTGTTGAAGAGGTTCAACATGTAGAATTCCAAGAAAGGTGACTTACCGATCCAAAGCAATGCCAAACTGAGCAAGACTCCGAGTCCGAGTATAGAGGCTGAGATAGCAGAGATGAGTCGATTTCCATATGCTTCTGCGGTTGGCTCGATCATGTATGCAATGACTTGTACTCACCCTGATGTGACCTTTGCTTTGAGCATGGTCAGCGGATATCAGGGGAACCCTGGTAAGGCTCAATGGACTGTATTAAAGAATATTCTCAAGTACCTACGAAGGACAAAGGACTGGGTTATTATCCTCGGTGGGAGTGATGACTAGAGAGTGACACGGTATAGTGACGCCAACTTTCAGACCAACAGAGATAATTTCCGTTCTCAGTCGGGCTGGTTATTTACCCTAAATGGAGGAGTAGTTACTTTGAAAAGTTCCAAGCATGAGAACATAGTTGATTTAACATGCGAATCAGAGTACATAGTAGCAAGCTAAGCGGCGAAGGAGGCGATATGGCTGAAGAACTTCATTGAAAACCTTGGAGTTGTTCCAGCTATAAAGGAGCCTATGGAGATTTTCTGTGACAGCGGTAGTGCGGTTTCCTTAGCTAAGGAACCAAGGGATCATGGCAGATCTGATGTGTGTAAAACTCACTTAGTTTTAATCCTACTTTAATTATCAAATAACACACAAAAGGCAGTGAACCTATCAATTGTGGTATAGCTAAATAAGTAGGGTATCGAACACAGGGAACGATAAATTAAATTAAAAACTAATTCTATCTAAGTTGATTAAGAAAATAGGGGTTTTTCTCTAGTTTTACAAGACTAGAAACTTACTAACTATAACTAATTAAAGACTAGAAAATAACAATTTAACTAGATTCAATAATGGGAAAGGAACTTCTGTTTAGTTCAACTCGATTAACTCTATGGTTGATTTTAAGGTAATAGTGCAATGGATTAATTCTTTCGTTGGTTACCGATTCAAGTGATTAGGTTCATGTTCACTACCCTAATCCTTAGCAAATAAACTAACTCAAACAGTGGCCAATTGCTTAATTTAATTATATTTACTAGATTAATTATTCGGGTTAAGTTAGACTTGCAATAGCTAATTAATTTATTATTCTTAATTAACCTCTTGTTTGATGGTCATCTTACAAGCTTGCACATGAATTTACTCAATTTCCTTATTAATCCTAGTTTCATATTCATTAATCCTAGACATATGGTATAGTGGTCACATATCATATGAGGTTGATAATCAATAGATGTTCATGCTAATCAATTATCTTCCTATTAACAGAAAATTAATTATCATTCATACACAAGGTTCTTTAGCAAGCTAAAATAACAAAAATTCACCAACTTGGAATTAATACTACCAATCAATCAAACCATATTGTCAACTTTGTATCCCCAAACAGAAGTCTAAAGATTTTAGTTCATAACTAAAGTAAATAACAGCAAACAAACAAGTTCAAGTTGCTTAATCATGTTGACAAAACAAAAGAATAAGTAGAATAATGAAATTGTGCCTTGATTACTCCCAGAATTGAATTCTAGCTTCCTTGGTCGACTTCTAGGGTTCTTCTGGCTTCTTATTCGCAGCAAAGCACTTCTGAAACTTCCCAGAATTTTCCCTTCTCGATCTGTGGAGTTATCTTTAAATATGCGTTCCGACTCGTCGAGTCAGGTGGTGACTCGTCGAGTCCCTCTCACATTCTCCGTATTGCGATAACTATCTTGACTTCCGAATCATTATCCTTTTGATTCCTCGACCGGACTCGTCGAGTCCAGGCTCGACTCGACGAGTAGAAGCCTTTTTTAGGTGTTTTTCTTCTTCATTCCACTCTCGAGCTCCTAACCGCTTCTCTTGCTTCCTTTCGCGTCCGAGCTTCATCTTTGGACTGAAAAACATAATTTAACACTTTTAAGTACCTTTTGTCCATAATATGCAACAATTTAGCTAATATATGAATAAAAAACTATACTTAATACACACTAAATATGCACATATCAAGATCCAAGCACATTAACAGGAAATATCACTTCATAAGACACAAGATAGAAGAAGGAATCCTTGTAGCAATGAGGGTATTATCAGAAGAAAACCCAATAGATCCCCTCACAAAGGGACTGAGTAGGGTTAAGCATTTGAAACATGTGAGGCGTATTCGACTGAAGGACGATATTAGTTTTAATGCTTAGACAGCTATTTATAAAACTTGTAATAGATAAAATATAATTGACATTTGATGATTAAATAAAAGTTGTTGTTTATTTATGAGTAAAGTTACTATCTTGGGTTAATTGTTTAACATTGTTTCAACTTTGCATGTTTTGACTTCTAGGATAATAAGATTATTCAAACTATCCACAGTCGATCATACTTTGGAAGTAGGTATTGAAGCAAGACTATCATGAATTGGGCTTATAGATGTCTAAAGTGTTTAGACATAGCAAAATGAAAGACCCTGACTTTTGTATTTCTAAAGAACCAAACTTTCATACTATTCCAACATTACTCTTAAGTTACTTCCTCAAAACATGCTACATGCATATTTATAAAACAAAACTTTATATTGATAAAGTGATTATAAAAGATTGGATACAAACCGACTAAGTTTTATTACATTACATATCTATCTAGGAATCTGCTATTCATATACATACATGAACATTAAATACAGAGAAATAATATTAACTATTTGAAATCTTTCATCACCTGCAATTGTTATACATTGAGAGGGATAAGCGATAACGCTTAGTGAATTCAATAAATAGATACAATATAATCTTATGCCTTATATATACCAATATGACTGAAGCAAAGAGGAACAAGAACAACAATAGCATATGTGTATCATATGTCAGGCTTTCAATATCGACTCATGATCAAATTCAAAGATTTACCATCAATGAGACTTAACAATTTTAATACGTGATATACATCAATAAAACTTTGACCCAAATGGCACAGAAGACATACAATTTTCTAATTAATCATTCTGATAGATTTCAGATTTTTACGCCTTGTTTAGCATTTCGATAGATTTCAGGTTGTCACGCCCTGTTTAATATCTCAGTAGATTTCAGGTTTTCACGCCTCGTTTAATCTTTTTCCAATGCAATTAAATAGAAGTCATTCATTTACGGGGGACATGCTCTACATGGATAAAGGCTTCGTACCATTACTAATGTGAATCTAAGTTCTTTCACTTATCACATGGTCAAAGGTATTACTTTTGCTATCAAAATAGCAAAAAATAATAACACGGGAAAATAACTCGGAATAATAACATATCAATACCACTGTGAATCTAAGTCCTTTCACTGATCACAGGGTTAGAGGTATATCTTTGCTATCAAAATAGCGAATAAAACTATCATAGAAAGCATATAGCACATATAACACATAACATACAATTGTTCCTATATATTGAACTCACCTTGAAATAATCAGGGGTTAAAATATTAATTTGTGCAGCACTTTGTTCCTATAAATAGCTTTCTTCTATAAAAACTGGGAGATATATTGAAAACCAGGCTCTGCGAAGGTAGCGCTTCAAACCAAAAAGATAAATTTCTCAGGCTCTCCGGGTACCTCGGAACGTATTTCGGGCTTTAAAAATGATACCGGGGCTTCGGGGGAAATCAAAATAATAAAAATCTTGAATTTGGGGTGAATATTTGCCAAATTTCCCATTTTACTCAAGAGGGTTCACAG